GTGTTCCGCGTCTGGGACACCCGTTAATCCGCGCGTTCCGTATCCTCGGTGCCGTTTAATATCGGCGAAAATGAAGTCGAACGGGCCGGAGGGTGGCTCGTACCCCGCGCGCCGTTAATATCCTACCGAAATAAACTCCGTTGATGTCCGTTGGATCCACCGGCGCAAATTGGTACAGCGCCAAAATTCAGCCGTCGCTAACCGGACGGAAACATTCCGCTGGAATACGGTATCCGCGACGCAACCTCGAAACGGCTAAGGTTCCGGGGGGCCCTGTCCGACAAATATTTCCAGCGTCAGATTTATGGAACATCGGGGCCCCCCTGGGTACACCCTCGCGGAAGAAAATACGTCCGAGCGCGGTTCGCAGCTTTTTTTGAACTTTTTGTCGCGAACGCGGATTGTCACCGGCCCCACGACGCAACCGTTATCGTCGTTTCCGTTTCCTCCGTTCTTCCTTTTTTTTTTCAAACGATACCGTGTACGTATTCGTTTCACGGGGGATATATCGTGTGCACTAATTTATTAACCCTTACGGAGAGCTATGTTTGTATGAGATGTTCTAGTGTCGAGGGCGCGACAGGGGTGGTGGAGAAAGTAGATCGAAAGTGGAGAATAACATTTTTTCCTCGAGTTTCAATCTGTACAGTGACTTTGACTTTGACGTAAATAGAAACGGTGATTCGGGACAGTTTTTATGGGACTACGGTTTTATCACTGTGGCGTGATAGCTGAGAGTCAAGACTATATTAGTACGAGAGATCTAGAAAGTAGATTTAAGTAACGAATTATTTACTGTAACAAATACCTAAAGTGACACTAGTTTATTCTATATATTGTAGAAAGCACCGATGACCTTGACCTTGATCTCAAAAATTTTTTCCTCCAAATATCTCTCTGACATGTTTCAATTTTAACACAAGCGGAACATTTGAACTGGTTTTCAATTTAAAACACTTTCAAAATTGTAAAGGATTTATTACATAAAATAATAAATTTCTATCCGACTTATTTTCCAGTTAAATATTATCGTGTGATCGTAAAAAATTGCTATTCCGCTCTATTGTTTTTGGTCATCGTTAAAAAGGCAATTGTATTTCCCCGCAGTGATGGTTGCCTGGATACATAGGGTAAAAAACAATACACATTCGCGTTTAATGTCGTCATAATTGTCGAATCACCGCTGTGAAATGGCGATCCGCTGACCGGGGCTCATCCACCGGGGCTACCTATAATTTTAATTATGGGTTTATAGCTTTGTTTTCAACGGCGCCGCGAAAGCACACAAAAGTCGTACTAGAAATAAATGAAACGAACAATGAAAACACAAACAACCGGACCGATATGGTTCCGTTATCAGCAAAAACAGAGCTTTCCAACCATGTATTAACACATGTACGCCGGTATCGATAGACGGTTTAAAAATAACCGGGGAGCCAAAGTGATTGGTATACAGAATATATATTGACGGACACCCTAACGTTATCGGTCTCGAAGCAATCAAAAATTTCTCGGTGTAATCTATCCGTAAGGTGGATTAAAATCCACTCTATGCGTCCGTATTTATTCGATTTACAACCATGATGTAATTCTTTTTTAAGAAACATCATTTTTACGTCGAATCTAACGCGATCACGCGACACGACGCTCAATACTGTACGAAAAATTAGTATGTAACGTTATATAACGTCACCGGTAGAACTTTTCATCGGTCCTTATCTTAATTACAACGGCGATACAATTAATTGCCAGATCGTAGATTGCAAACTGGCGCCGTATCACGGTTCCCTCCATTTTTCGTTATCATATTTCGATAAATAGTCGCTTATTCCGTCCGACGGTGTAATTTAATTGGAATATCTATCTTGCCGATCACAGTGTAAATACTCGCCGGTTCTTAAAAAACACACGATATCCGTAAATAAACTTTGCGACCGTTCTTGACATAGAAATTCGAACTTTTATGAGTCATTAATTTAGCTGTATAACCGGAAGCAGAATCGTCAGCCTTTCGATGGGTGTTTTTAATATCAAAGTCGTTGGATAATTGTCGTCGCGGGCTGTAGGAGTCAACAAACACACATTTCGCGGAATACTTATTATAGATCGTGTTCTTCCGTTTATCGGAACGAAGCGATTCGGTGGCTGTCGTGTGTGACGCATCGTCATGGACCCCACCTGAACGGTTTTAATCAGACTACCGAGTTTATCTTTTTCACAAACGATATCGTTATCGTGCCACGACTCGTGTATTTGGGCTTAGCACACGTCTGCGTATTCCAAATGCATGAGATCTGCACTTTAATAATAATTAGCAAGCATTTCACTGCGAATTACACGCGTGAAAAATTTACAATAATCGCCTTCTACAGTATTACACAGTTTCTACTGAGATTTACCGAGCACATATTTCACGAGAGACTGCCTAATGCGTTAATCTCGCATAAAAATCTCGTATAGTTCTCTAGCGTTATCAGTTCTCGTCCATACTGTCGCGTATGAAACGTAACTCGTACAAATTTAGACCGGATTTCGATGACTCGTCTCGTACTAAATTAATAAATAGATAAAAAATATCACTCGATCATTGTTCCCAGAATTCTTCCGCCTATCAACTCTGTTCACTTATAGTCTACATACTGTAAATAGAATATTACTATTTTCTGGATATTTCCAAGCAGCCTTTGATCGATATTCGAGGATGACCACGACACGCGGTGGATCGCGATCGAGATTCTGCTCGGGAGTTCTCTCGAAGCGCGATCTCCGCGTTCAATTATCGTTCCCCGTGATCTGAGATTCTCGTTTTTTGTTTCGTTTTTATAATTCACCGGGTAGCTCGGGGCGCAAAAATTGGACGGGATCGAGGCGGGGGCGGATTTTCGAAAGCCGTAAACCGCGATTGGAAATCGTGCGTGATTGTTCGCCGCGGGCGAGTCAGCGCGCGCTTTCGTATCAACCAGAAAACTTTCGTAGCTTTCGAGCTTTTCCTCCGGTACGTTTTCCGCTGCCTCGATTGCTTCGGTAGATTTCCTCGTCTCGTAATAGAAAATTGTTAACCTTCGAAAGAATCGTGGCTTCTTTGACAAAACGTTCGACAGAGGTTCGCTCTATATGATACAACGATAGTTTTTAAATATCGAGCAGATGTCAATCAATCATTGCAGATGTTTCTTCTCGCTGTAAAGAAACTCGTGAAGTACGAGCACGCCATTGGACGCGAATTTTTACCCGTTTGTAATTTGTTTTCTATGGACGGCATTCAAGTTATCGGCGCCAGAGATTCGACTGCAAGACTCACTCGTCTGCGTGGCAATCATCGAAAATTCCCAGATGTTATCATGTCCGGATTAAATTAATCGCTCTATTACGTCGCGCTATCTGGCAGAGAGCGTCGATACGGACGATCTATGATCGATTGGGTATTACGTATCTCGTCACGCGACCTTTTCCTTCGAAAATAATGAATTGTAACACAATCTCTCAGGAACGTGTTTCGAAGATCTCGATTTTTCAAAGTTGGCGCAATCCAGAGCTGTACGTCTAATTTCCGTAAAGGGGATTAAGCTAGCGTTGGGTCAGACGCGATTCTTTCGTTTGTCACGAGTCGGATTACAAGTTCCCCAGCTCCGAGACGGAAGTTTCCACGTCGCTTTCTCGCGCTTCATCTTTCGTTTTCACGGAACTCGTGTTTCCTCTGTTAATCGGGAAACTTCGGGGACCCGACAGCGCCGTCGAGTCGATACGGAATCGCGGATCGATCTACGAGACGAGATATATCGCGGGGATTATCGATCCCGCCGTATCTGCGGCGCACTCGAATATCGTGACGATTTCGCAGACGGAATTTCCAATCTCGCGAACTCCTTCATGCCTCTTAATACGCTCTATCGGGGTTTATTTTTGGATGGGAGGAACCGTTCTCCCTCTCGGAGCCTAACGTCGCGCGGAACGACGCTCTCCGTCGCCCACTCGAGCCCCGTCGAAATCGCGAAAACAACCGCGCGGAATCAAAACTGTAAATACCATTACCGGGGGCCCCCTCGATACTTTGTTACAAACTTCTGCAACGGATGTTTCGTCCACGACTGGATGTGTATAAAAAAAAACAACGGTACGAACGATGTGACCACATCGCTCGACTAAAATTATTGCAGCTCTGTTGGAGAATTCTCTCGATAGAAAATCGTGTTGCACACGTGTCTGGATTTTTTTTTAGTACAAAATGGTAGAATAATCCGATAAATTTTTGCCTGTCCATATCCAGTCGATACAAACAATTGTAATACTCCCACCGTAAAGATTGACTTTCTACGATTATTCGAGTACCATAATACTTGACAAATCATTCCTAGTTTACGAAAAATGATCGATGCGTTTTTTGGAAAGAATCTTTCACGAAGATACCGCGTTGCCTGTGGGATAAACCGGATTACCAATCGATAACGATAGCGTTCGTCGCTATCACGATTCATTTCGCTGTCACGCGTGTTTCTGGTCGCAATTACCTCTAGCTCGAAAGATGATACATTTCCCACGTCTCGTGTAACTTCTTCTCGATCGCGATTCTCGCATGTTTTCCTTGGCACCGGAAGCTCCTTTATCGCGCTCTCTAAGGAGAATCGTATTCGCGCTGGTGATTGCTGTTCTTGGCACCGGGGCGACGCGGCTGTTTCCCCTTTGGAAAATCAATTTTTGTCGAACAAACACGCGAGACGACTTTCGTCTACCGGTTCCGGTTAAAAAACCGACGCGAAAATACCTTTAACAACGAATAACAAACAACGCGCCACGGTCACGATTCTCGATAGAGTTTCTCGATATTCGATATTCGGTCTTCGCGTTCCCTCGCCATTGACGCGGGATATTTCTGGTCGACGCGTCGGTCCGAGAAAAAAAAAAGAGAAGGAATGAGAAAGAGGAGGCAGACAGAATTCGAAGCCCACGCTTTCTGCCAACGTCGGAGCGGCTTCCGCGAGATTGACTTGGCAGTGGAAGTGGGCGTCGCTGGCCAGACTCGTCCAAGGTCGCAGACGATCTCGTCTGTCAGGGTCTTGCACCTATTTAGCCTTTCGGCTGTCGCACTCGTACGAAAACGTACGCCTAGACGAATTTCACCCACGAGCATCGCGGTCCCATTCTCTCCGTAGAAAAACCGTCAGGTTCAATGTCTGCTCGATTGTTACGCGACGCGTTCAACATCGTGAATTACCCCGGTGCGTTTCCTCTAGAGACCACCCTCCTCCCCCCCGCGTGACTCGACACCCAGTTCGTCGATTGCTTGCCAAACGAGAGCGGAAAGATTTATCCGAAATTAGCCATCTTCTTGGTGCCAACGTCGTCGCTGGTAACCAGTCGCAGTCGTAGACAGCAGACGTTTCGCGGATTAGGAACGCGTTATTTTCGAGCCAGATATCTGGAGGCAATGTTTACGACCGTCTGAGGAAGGCACCCAAGGCTTGTTGCTCCATTGTCGCGAAATTATAAGGTTTGTGGAGATGGTGTAGACCACTTGGGATAGCTTGATCGATCGACTCCAGGATAGAGCCGGAGTTCCGGATCTTCTTCGCGCCGCGTGTTCCCCCAAAGCTGCTTTCGATGTTCTGCGTCAGTGGTTTCCAAACATTCGGGGCTCCCTCCATTAAAAAAAGAATCTTTGCACCTTCAGATAAGTGGCAGGTTAAGAAGGAAAAGGTTGGTGCAAGGAAAATATTTTTTTTAGACGGTGGCAGCAGCGTCAGGTGTTACAAAAGACTTGTAGAGAATAGTAAACAGTAGATAATGAGACGAACTTTCTCCCTGCTTGATATATTTCCTTTACGCAAATAATAATAATAATATAGATTTTAGTATCTGTAGGCATAGCTATAAACGCTTGACGTTACATGCGCATTAATATAACCAGATATAATTGAATTCGAATACTTCTGGAACACGTCTGACCATTGCTCGCTTCTTCCACTTGCAGCGTCTCTTACGCCATGTTAAAAGTAGATGTTCCGGGGAATATTTGGACATTTTTGTCGAACAAGGTAATTAACGATTCATTCCGCATCGCGGCAGTCGTCTCGCAAAATCGTTGGCGCGATAAATCAGCCCCGCGAGCTGTGAATGAAGCGACGCTTACGGTCGATTTTTCTTATCGCGGGTCCGTTGCTTGGAAGTTAAATCGTCCAAGGCTCCTCGGGGCTGCGGAGCGTCGAATCGGCATTCTTGGCCAGGTACTGTACACGAACCGTTTAATAATGAGGAAGCTCGTAAACGGCAACGGTCATTAAACAGTCTCGGGCGTCGTAAATCAGGAGGACCGAGACGATCGTATCTATCTCGGTACTCGATTTCTAGAACGTCTAAAATTAGCAGGACGCGCGACCACCGAATTCGTTGATTCGATCTCTAGACACCGGCTGCGAGGAGGGAAGGTCATCGGGTGTGCAATCGGGGCTCGTTAATGTGCATCCAACGCGGGTACTTTAAATAAAGAACCATTCCTATCGTGTCTCCATCACCTTTTGCAAATCTAGAATCACAACGATACAGTCCTTAGTCGGTGGATACTTTTTTGGGCGATAAATATCACCCTTAAAGAGTCAAGGGTTTATTAATCGTCTCAACTCCAAATTCGAGAAGGATTTCTTCACGTCGAACGGACGACATTTTTGTTTCCGTCGGAGTTGGTCGAACGTGAAACGCAACGTGGACTTAAAAAGTTGTGGGTCGAATTTGGTCGACCAAGGCGCGAAACTTCCATCGGTTTTCCTGGCAGCGATGGTAACTTTTAACCACGTTCGAAATATTCCACGATTTCCGGGACATCGCGGGAATCCTGGACCGCGAGGATCGTGTCCGGCGGCCATTCGGGAATATAATGGAAATTAATTTGTCGGGGTCGAACGAATCTCTGGGGCACAAAGTGACCGCGCGCCGCGCTCTGGAATCTCTTTAATTATAACTCGACGCCATTGGATCAGACGTGGCACCATCACTCGCGTTCGTGTCCCCGACAGTCGTGAAAAATTCCACCCCCCATTACGTATCGGTGGGAAACGTGCATTATATACCCGCAATATTTGCGTGTCCGATTAATCCACCACGAAGGTGACAAAAATGCCTCGTGTTCGCTATTTCGAAGCTTTGCTCTTTTTAGTTTCGTGAATTTCTGAATTTTTTATCTAAACCATTCTCATTGTAAAGGGAATTAAATGGTGTATATTTTCGAGCGATTAAATCGCGCGTCTCGGTGACAAATTATTCGCAGACTCCGGGAGTTAGGCGCGCTTCTGTTGAACAACCCTAACGTGCAAGGAGTTAACGTAGCGAAAAACGAGTCCTAAGGTTAGAGCGTGTAAAAGCGTACTATCGTCTGCCGTCAAACGCACAAAGCAGCGAGTAGAATTGGTTCGTCTACTGTCAGACGCACGCCGCGCCCGGCGTGACAGGAATTACGTCTGCACTTTGTTACACTCACGTTGCTCGAAAAATTATCTCGATTACGCGTTACGTAAATCCAATTACCACGTTTGTAAAGATACAAATTAATATTGTACATCAAGAGAGATCACTGTCGCTAGATTGCATTCGGATCGAATTGGGATAGTTCGCCGAGATAGCGTAAGATCGCGGCAAAGTTTCTCGTTCGTCGTTGCTTTGTATCTCGCCCGGAGTTGTAATCTGATCGAGTGGAACTTGGAACGAAAGGGTTAACGATAATCGCGCCTAAAACTCCGACGAGGGGGGGTTGGGATTATCCGGCGATACGTTGATCGATATTTTCGCGGATCCCGGTGGATCGTGGCGCTGGGGGTGGGTGGTTTTGCGGGCGCGTCGTCCAGACGGGATCGAAATTTATGCGGGTCGCCGAGGACCGCAAAAGGATTATGCGACGCTCGCGGCCGGGGAACTCCGTTGGAAATTAGTTTCCGAGCTTAATGGAGTTTTGCGATTGCGAAAGGTTTCGCGCCGGACGACGACGAAAGTCGCGCCCCCCTCGGAAACTTTCCGTGTAACTTCGGCAATTTTTCCCATTAGACGCGATTTTTCAGCGCCCGGAACGCGCGTACCTGACGAACTTTACGCGCTCGCGGGAAAAAAGAAACGAGAACCGGCCGTATCGGCGAATACATTATCGCGACGAACCCGCGGATTGTTTCTCGCGAGCGTGTTAACTGAATTTCGAGAAAGATTGCTTCCTCAGGTCCTTGTTTCCGTTATTAGGAAGTTGCAGGAATGAATTCAGGTGATTTTTAGAGTCTTGGGAGGAGCTTGTATCGTTATTTGGAGTAAAGTAAATTTCTCGAACCGATTTGGTAAACGCGTAGCGCGCCCTGAAAATGACAAAACGCTGGGAACGCGTCTCCGTATCTAGTTTGGTAGCTCCTTCCGGGCGACTTCCGGTCTCGCGATCTCATCGATGATTTACGAGCTGCGGAAAAGAGAGAGAAGGGCCGACGGTGTGTCCTCGAGAGGCCGAGCGCGCAACTTCGGAGACAATTTATCGTTGCATCGATCGTAACGAACGGGAAATTTTATAAACTACTCGTCCCGGGAAGGCAGCGACGGAAAAATTGGATCGTCGTGCACCGGTTGGATCGAAGCAGGGCGGCCAGTTATTGGAAACGAGACAAATGAAATCGCAGACTTCGCTCGCGAGCTAAGATAATTTTAAATTGACTTCGGTTTCTCCTCGATTTCAACCACCCTTAATAAAAGACTAGCTTCTGTTTCGATCTACAGATCTCCCTTGCACTTTCCTAAATTTATCATGCAACGTTGAGTTCGATCTTCCTGGTCACTCTGTGTTTGTAGATTGTACACTTTGCAACGACGATAAAAAATTCCTCGTCTCTTTTAAACATAAAAAAAAAAGAACTATTATCGTTGATGGGAACGCAACGCGAACCAACGGAATTCGAATTATAAGCATTAATGAATGATCGCGGGGAAGAAAGACGTTTAATTTTCGGGGAGCAGCGCCGCAAAATTGCTCCGTCCCCGACTCGTTTAGGGAAACAATCGCATCACGGGCACAATGGAAGTCATTAAACCATACAATATTGTCCCCTTTCCAACGGTCTCGCAAAACGGAGCACGGCCGAATTACTAGAATCGCCGTGTACACTTTTTCGCGGTTCCCCGGCTTTGATTCGATACGAAAGGATTTTCGATCGTTCGAGGAAAGAGAATTGTTCGAGGATTTTTCTGCCGAGGAAGACCAGGGTACTCCGTCGACGTAACGAAATTTCGCAGCATATCTTTTTCCACTGGCAAGCGCTTTTGCACGGGTCCAAAGGGGGGATTTTTACCGCGTGGACGTTGATTTCGCGGAAGGACGATCGGGGAGAACGTATCGAGGGGGAAATAAAACGCCAAAGACGCGTGGCGTCGTTATTTCTAGTTACTTAAGGCGCGGTAACGTTTCACCCCCTGGCTCGTCGATGAAAGTCGAGACGCCATAACAAAGGAACGGCTGATCAAAGCGCAAAAGTAATGAAAGATACCGGGGGTCGGGAATAAAAGGGGTGTGGGTGCTCCTTATTGGCTTTCTCTCGTTTACCCGGCGAACTCTCGTTTAGAGTGCTTTCGGTCTTCATTAGGAATTCCCAAGTCTTCTATCGCCAATCTGGAAAGACAGGAATAGCTCTCGCCGCTACGTGCAAGGGACTGTGCACGATTCGTGTAATCATGTTATCCACTATTATTAAAGTACGGCTAGGGAAGTAATCGAACTCGGGGCACGAGTAATGAGAAACTCGAGATCCTGCTTTTAACAATTAAAAAGGCTTCTCATCGGAGAAGATAAAGACCTCTGTCGTCCTCGTTCCCTTCGTTGAACAGTTAGGGGGCTAACTAACTGCGAAGAGACGGGCGGAATCGATGAAACGTGGAATTTAATAATCACGCGCGTGTTTGCCTGGGGACGATCAGAATTCCAAAAATTGCTTCCGCCCGTCGAACGGGCGCATATTTTTCATCCCGAGCCCGTTTCGCATTTCGAGAACTCGTGATTTCATCAACGGTCCTCTTTTTCTCTCCGCTCTGACTAGAGGAACAATCAACGCGTGTTGCAAATAAAAAAAAAAAAATGCAATTCTAGTTCGAATCGATCGTCGCGTACGAAACAAAAGACACCCCTATAAGAACTGGTGAGTTGAACAAATTCGAAACGCGACGGGGGCTCCGGTGACTGGATCCCGTGGATCTCGCGGGTCAATCCATTAATTAACACGGATTAGCGCAGTTTCTAATCATCGCTTAGATTGGATATCGTGCATTGTAAACGTATGATACAGTGGATAATGACCGGGGCAAATAGAGTTTGTTGTCTCCGGATTATCGTTGCTAATTGCAGTTTGCGCGAGCCTAGGCTTCCGCGTCCCGTACAAACGAAACAGACGCCCGTAGCGGATCGAACGCCGACATCGTGGATCGCGCTGGCAAATATTGACCGCGACGAATATAGGCCAGCCGGCAATCAAAACGTCCGACCGACTTAATTTATCGGCGGTCGTGCAAGGGTGGCGGGATCGGTTTTTCCCCATTTGCGCGACGCCCGCTTTACCGCGACGCTTTCGGCTTTATTGAGACCCCCAAGGCGTCGGACGTCCACGTACAGTTTGCTGCCGGTGACGTTTCTCGGATTACGTGTTACGTTCGAAGACCGATCGCTGGCGACGCGATTACTATTACCATTACACCGATCGACTCGTTTCGAACTTCACGAGTCGTTTCTATATATTAACAAAGAAATTTTTCTTCAAGAGAATCTTAAATGGTCAAAAACTGAGCAAAGCAATTTCGAAAGCACTGAACCAGAGAATCTGAGATGGAAAATGGATTAAAATGGGGGGAAGAGGAATTGTATAGAGGATGAACGTTGTTATAATTTGTCTGTTTATTCTGATTGCAGAGTTGTTAATTAAGAATGCGCAATGATACGGCGAATTTATCAGTGGACCGCAAACCCGCGCGAGAAAGGGCAGGGTACGGAAATGGAACCCCGCAAAACAAACTCTCACCTCCAGGAAAAAATATTCTTGAAGTGTAAGTACTCGACCATCATTCTTTTCTTTTTCCGGATCGAACCAATAACCCTTCCTCCCACGCTTCTCGATTAACGCGTTGACTGCCACGATTTTTCACGTTTATTTTAATTCAGTTCCTCTACTGCAGAGTGCATTTCAGTCTCTCGGTAGTTCTTGATATATCGGTAATTGGTTAAATTGTTGTAGAGGAACGTCGACGCGAAATACCGATCACCGGGGGAGGAGGGAGGGGGGGGGGTGGCAGTCAATCTGTTAATTCACACTCGTAGCTTTATCAACACCGTGGCCGAACTTTTTAGCGGAGTTGGCGTGTAATAGGGGAAAGCGCAAACGGTGGCTTATCCATCGCTGATCGATGGTTACAATGCTTCATGATCGATGAGATGAAAAATTGCAACTTCTTTTTTACTCCCTCCCCTCCTTCCATTTTAACCGGGCTTCTCGCGTTTCGCCGTACGGGTCGCTCGATCACCGGTGATCGATAGCGAGCCAACGATCATCGAGATTTTGCGAATCGACGCGGAAAGCGTCGCTGGCCCCGATAACGTCGCCGCTACGCGCCCCCCTCGACGCTGTTGCTGGATTATTAAATCGTTGTTAGTTGTTCGACCCGATCCGGATAAAATTAAACCGACCGGGGGATCGTCGTTCCTCGAGACCCCCGTTCTCGTGAAGTTCCACGGAACCGTCTAGGTATATTGTGGAAAGAGGATTGATCGATTACAGTGCAACGGGATCGTAGGAATTATACCGGTGCCGCGTTACAAAGGATCCAATTAAGCTAACGCGATTGAACGAACTTCGTTTGAAGTACGACTCGCGGGAGCAGTGCAAAGCCAGAAAAGGGACCGTGTTAAATTTACAACCGTGGCGCGACGTTGGTTAAACGTGTAATTAGTGACGCAGATGAGGACGAGCTCGGAAATTTTGTTCGAGTTCGGTTTCTGTTTACCCAATCATTCAAGGAGACCGGCTGACCGTGGCCCGCCATTTTGGTCCACGATTCCGGAACTCAATTAAAATTCAGAATTTTAGCGAGATACAATTGCAATCTTCTTTTAATTTAGAAAATTCTAACCTACGATGATTCATCGAGTCGTTCGCTCTTCCAAGATCTCCAACCCCTTTTTGGGAGAAAAATGATCGCTGGAGATCCATCAATTTTCAGGGCGATCTCCGTGGATCGTTTGTCACGATCTAACGGGTTTCATAATTTCGCGAAAGACATCGCCGTTTGTCGAGAAGCGATACACACTCGTTAAACAAACGATCGTGGGAGTCGTTAATTACGAGCTCTAGAAATTTCCGACGCTGAGTGGAATATTTGTACCATTTCTATTAAAAGCTAAAAATTGCAACCAAAAATATATTGCGCGGCAAATGAATATTTTCGATCGCACTTGTCGTCCGGGGCCATTTTTCGATATAATTATTTCGTTCGGCTCTGCCGCTTTATTTTTCTTACTTTATTTTGCTACGTTGTTCGTTGCAGTCGTTTAGCAGTTACGCCCGTGCAGTTCTAATTTTAATTTCCACATCGTAAATTTAGACTTTGTCACGGGGCTGAATATGTTTGTAAATTGCATTGTTTACCCCGTGCAACATGGTCGTCAGAGCCTGCAGTGATTTAATGCGACGTACGCAGCATCGATACGCGTGTTGATCCATCGAACGCAAACATAAAATATGGAATAATGTTTTCCAACGTTTGGGTAAAAAAATTCGTAGTTCTAACAGGTGCTTCGAATTGTACGAGTCGATTTCACGCGACTTTAATAATCCAGCGGAGCGAGAACGAACGTAGGTGTAAACGGGGGGATGTAACTAATCTTTAAGGCCTATCATTCTTGACGCGCATGAAAAATATTGTTGCACGATGTTCTGTGTACGGTACCATCTATATTTCATTTCAGACACGCTCCAAGACGCGGAGAAGGATAAAGAGGAAACTGAGTGTATGCTAGAAGAGAATGGCAAACCAATGTACGAATAAAAGATTCTTACAGATGAAAAATGTTAAAGTATATAGGAGACGAGGGAGCGCCGGAATACCGGGATTCAGGATCGTTGCATAATAAAAAAAATTTCTGGAAAATTGTTAAAAGAATCCCTCTCGTTGGTAGAGGCCAAGAAAAATCGTAAAACTTCTTTTTTTTTTTAGTATCGAGTATAGTTTACGCGAGAGTGCTTCCGGACCGGTGATTAAAATTACGTTCCGCGGCGTTTTCAACGAGGAACGCCGTGGTCGTTAACGATTCCGGTATTCGATGAAAGTTGTTCGATACGCCGTCGATCTTTTGCATCCGGAAGTGCTCTTCGACGAGTATAAACCGTTTCTTAGCGATCGAGCGGAAGTTCGGTGAAACCGGCGATACATTCACGGGCGAGGGTGGAGGTTAATTAAAAATCAACAATTTTTTGCCCACAGTGAGTTCGTGCCACCGCAAACGAAGGAGGACGACAAACCCGTGGCACCGGAACCGACGTTGCCACCAGTGCCTTACTTCAGACTGGTAAGTTTTTAATAAAAATGTACGCAAGCTCGTTGTCGCGATAACTAGCGGCGATTCCAATTATCGTTCAACCTTGGTCAGGAATTTATTTCCTATTTTAACTCCTTTCCATACTTGAACGAGTCTGAATCGCGATGAGGACTTTGGCCCAAACGTAAACATCGCGAGCCAGGCTCGAGGAGATCAAAACACGATCGTCATTGAGGTTTAATTGCTATCAGTACGCCTCTAGAGTCGGTCACGATTCTTATAATCTCCAAATTATATTTGGAACGAACAAAACTATAGATTAACTATCAATCGACGAACGAAACTCGCATTCAACCCTCTTGCACACGAGTGCAAACTCCTGCAATTGTGTTTGTTATATTAGATAACCGATGACCGTGATTACCAGTGCCAAGTAAATAATGCGACGTGTAAACACGTTCGATTCGCGTCTCGAGTGCTCTTGAATTTCAGATCTCGATTAATCGCGTCGAATTGAAACGCTCCCGGGCGCGCCATAATGGATTTTATTTCTTTATTAACCCATTAATCGGTGGGAGTTAGCCTGTCGTTGCGTTCGGTAAATTCACAATAACGTTTTACACGATTGTCGAACAGGGGAAGAAAAACGTTCGCGGTTTAAACGAGAATTAATAGGAGGATTTGAAACTCGAAATGCGATCGAAACAATATTAGATGCGGAGAAGCGTTTCTAATTACGAGCTCGTGGGTTAATGAACGAATAGAGAAATGGATTTGGCTAATAACGAGGATTTAAACTGCATTGGTAGAAACGATTGAATATCTGATAAAGTAATACCCCTCCAAACGTGAAATATGGAATACCTTGGAAAGCATTACGCTTTTAATGGTCTCGTCTCGATACTTTTACAATAACGAGGAGAATCGATTTGTCCGTAAAGGGTGTTCCCATTTAAAAAAAGCAACTGGATCGTGTTTGTACCGTCAAGAATACGAATAACTGTAAAATTGGGGCGTCGTGGACAGACTTTGCGCGTACGTCGATCGATGGGGTGGCTTGTTTTCATTTAGAACTAGTTTCGGATCTCCGGGCCATTAATCACCGGTTAGGCTGGCATTAATTCTCCGGGGTTAAATCTCCCGGAAAAGCGGAAGTTGGCCGCGCCCGCGCGAGAATATGTTTCTGCAAAATTTTCGATTAGTTCGCGACAAATTGCCGTGCCCGCGGAATCTCGCGAATTCCCAGCGAGAGCTCATCGCACGGATAATTAACATAACGTCGATGCTCGGGGTGCCATTAATTAAACACCCTCTCGCCTTCCACGCCCTGCCTCCCGCTGGAGCACAGGCGGAAAGTTTGAATTTCAGTTTAATCGCGCGAGTCGAAATTTCGCTAAACCGTGACGGGAACCGCTCGGTTGTTTGCAGTTTCGATTTGCAACATGCGGGGAGCTGATGCTGATCGTCGGCGGCCTGATCATGGGAACTCTGACGGGCCTCTGCATCCCCATTTCGACGATACAGTACGGAGAGTTCACCACTCTGCTGGTGGACCGCAACATGGATAACCAGACGAGCACACCCACCCTCATACTGAAGTGGTTCGGAGGAGGGCTGGTCTTGTAAGTCTATTCTTTTTCACCTTCGAGCAACCCTTTCACCAACAATAAACTCCAAACGAATATCTAGCGTGATAACCACAGGTCAAAACTGAACAATACATTTTTTAAGCAAAATATTTTTGATTTATTAACACTAGATTACCCAAGGAAGTCATTTTGACTGCTTTTTAATTTCAATTAGAAAAACAATTATGTATATAACGACACAATTTCTTAGAATTTTGCGACTTTTTGCACAACATATAAATGCGTTTATTAATAATTCTAGTTACCTCCCCCCTCCTTCATTTCCGGTATATATATATATGTGTTATACCTATATCGCCCAAAAGCAGTCATTTTGACTGCTTGGGAAATTTTAAATAATCAAATGACTCTTATTATTGAATTGAGTAAATTTCTTATATGACCAGTTCGACTCTGTATTGAAATAACAGTTTTCATTTTTTTTCGATTACCAACACATGATAACATACAAGTACATGATAAATTGTCGATTTGGGCGTACCTAACCCAGACCTAACCCAGATCTAATCCAGACCTAACCCAGATCTAATCCAGATCTAATCCAGACCTAACCCAGATCTAATCCAGATCTAATCCAGACCTAACCTAGACCTAACTCAGATCTAATCCAGACCTAACCCAGACCTAACTCAGATCTAACTCAGATCTAACCCAGACCTAACCCAGACCTATTGATAAATTGCAGTTTCTCAATAAGCTAAAGTAGTACTTGTTATTCGAATCTTTACGCAGTGATACTTGTTCTAACAAGTTGTTTATTTTATTTCTGCGCCCTAAATTCATAATATTAAAAATTAATTTTTAACAAATTTCTTTACACATTAGTTAGTCTTTCACAATGCAGTCATTTTGACTGCTTTTGGGCAATATAGGTATATACTAAGTTTCAGTCTTTCTAGTGTTAATTTTAGACGGGCTGGTCTTGTAAGTCTATTGTTTTTCACCTTCGAGCAACCCTTTCACCAGCAATAAACTCCAGTCAAATATCTAGCGCTACAACCACAGGTCAAAACTGAACAGCACATTTTTCAAGCAAAATATTTTTTATTTATTAATTTGAGACGTCTCTACATAAGCAGTCTTTATTATTCTCATTGAGATATTTGTAAAAAAATTAACGAATCACGGAGGTAGGAAAATGCATACGTAATATAATATCCGACTGTTTGGTAATAATTGTACCGCAGAAAGTAAGGTAAATATGAAAATAATACGCGCAGCGTGAATTTACAGAAGATTACGGATACGTTGCGATCTTCCAAAGAAACAAATCTTCGAAACAGCGAACATAATGCAAGCGCAATAACGACACGAACACCTATGGAATTGTCCCGGAACGAGTGCATTAAATTTTCACATTTTATATGATATTCGTTCTCGTTATCGATGCACCATCGTGCACCGTTCCTGCGAAATTATTCGTTTCCCTCGATTTATTATTTAATGGCCCGTTGGCATCTTGGATATTATATTTGAAAATTCTCCGTGCTTTTTCACATTGTCCGAAAATAATTTCGCCGGCTCTTGCAGGAAATATTTCTCGCGTTCTATAAATAATTCAGCAATTTAAAACGGAAATAATCCTCGCTTTCACGGCGGATATAATAAACACGTCTTCTGCGCTGTTTTACAACGTGCTCGAAACGAGATGCGATCTTTCCGAGTAGGTATATCCGCTAGCATATGAAAACTGTGACCGCGAATTATACAGCTCGTAAATATAATATTTAGTACGCTCGAGAAATAATTTACTGCCTTTCCGCGAGAATAACAGTGTCGACGAACATTAAAAAGATCTTCTGGATCGTGGAATATCTTTTTCACGCACGGAATTACTGGTAGCAAAGAGGTCGAACCGCGTGAGAACAACGCACGGGAGGCAAGAAATTCGTCTTGAATTTCATATTTTTAGAACGGGGCTGGTGTGTTTCGACTTAGGCGCGTTGCTACGAGAAAATAGACCAGTCGGTCGAAATATAGTTTCGCCCAGTTTTCTTCGCGGTTTTGCAACACGGCCGCAGCCCCGTCGACGATATCGGTTCGATCGGGGCCGAGGTCGAGCGCGATTTTCATCCGATCGGGGGAATAAATATGCGATTCGAATCAACAGGGGTGCCAACGCCACGTACGAGGAAAGAATGACCGCCCTGTACGACGACTCCGTAGCCTTTGGCGTGTCCTCGGCGGCTCTCTCCTGCTTCCAATTCGTCTTCGCCGTGTTCACGGTTGATTTCCTCAACATCGCGGCCTCCAGACAAATTGTCAGGGTGCGTCAAATGTTCCTGCGATCCGTACTCAGGCAGGACATGACGTGGTACGACATCAACACGTCCACCAACTTCGCCAGCAGGATCACCGAGTGAGTACGCTCCGTCAAACCTTAGAAAATTTCCTATTATTTACGAGCAGGATCGAGCAGCGTTTCTCAACCTCTTCTGGCCCGCTGCCCACCCTCCGAGTGTTATTTATCTCCCTTCGTGGCTCCTGTCATCGCGGTTAAGCAAATTTTATTCGCGATACCCGCTCTCTCGGAAACGTCGAACGTTATAAATATCGATTCTTGGCATATTTAAAAACTTGCAAAATACGTGAATTAAAATTTGCTCTTAGTCAATCGATAGATCTCGGGACTATTCGTCTTGGCTGTGTTTCTCTAAAGAAGTATATCCCCCCGAATGGTACTTAAGCAGTCGTATTTTCTCACGGTGAATATCCCCCTTTCGCGGGGAACGCTTTCGATCTCGAAGTCCGGGTACGCGAACACGGCAGCGGCTCAGGGAAGTTCGAGAAACGAGATCCTGGCTCGTCAACAGGTGGCTGCTAGCGAAACTCGAAATCTCTTGCCCGATACACGGTGTCTCTGCTCGCGGTCGACCCGCGTAATTATCGAAAAGTCGAGGGGGTGAGTTCATAACCGGCTAATTAAGATACGGCGAGCAGACTACGCCGTGCTTGCGCAACGCGTTTATTCGGGGCGGAATCTTTGTCAGAATGTGTCTGTTGCACAAGCTCCAACGATTGCGAAACGAACTTTTTCGACCGTACGGCGGATCGAATATGAAATTCGATATAACTTGGAAGATATTTGGTAATCGTGACGCGATTCATTCTTTTGGAAACTCGTGAAAATTGCTCTATCTTCTAAATCGGATTGCAATTCGATGTAATGTAATTAATTTGCATCGGTTGTCGTTCTCTGGTTGCGTCTGCGTTTCCGGATCACGGATCACGGATCACGGAGACAATATAGCAGCCGAAAATAGCGTCGCGAAATATGTATATCGAGCTGCACGCAGGATCGTCTGGCATTAGAAACACTTTGGCTCGCCTCTAGCTTTTCGCGTTCATTTATAATGACGATTGCGTAAATCTCGCCTGCCCTTCTGCAATCTACGGTAACGTTTTATTGAACCTAAACGTCACGTTCCTCCGCGTCATTGGGAGTTTTACAGAGCCAAACCGAGTCGAAACTTTTGAAAGAATGGAAAAGAACGTTTCCCTACCAGAAAAACGGGAATATCCCCTCGAGATGCGAGACATTCACGAGTCTGTGCTCTCATAAATCACCTAAGTCGTTGCGCACACTCGTTCGTTGGCGATACTCGGGGCAATATTAGCATCGGGATTAAGTCGATTATACGAGACAGAGAACCGTGTGTACCGCGGCGCGATGAACGTTATAATTACCCCGGAAGTATGTCAAAATGTCTCCGCGAGGCAGGAGTCATCCGGAGTTCGTTGTGCAAAGATTCTGACGTCCCGACCTTCTCGATCGTTCTGTATGCGCGATAAGAACAGTCGGTGAATGCAAATTCCGCACGGACTTTACGTGTGTCTGGACAGCGGACGTTTTATTCCAAACGTACGTTCGGTTTCTATTTGAGGAACCCGACGGGGCTATTTCAAGGTGACCTCGATGCCGCAGGAGATAACGCAAACTTTAATTAATTCGCTGAATGGCTGCCCACGGACCGTGTTATTTTCGTCGGCGACAACTTTCGATAGAACCAGCGGGAAGTTATACGGACGGAGCTAATTGCGTCGATCGACTTATATAAAGTGGCGGAAGGCCTAAAGCGTCACCGTCCCCGACCATGCATAAAACATTCATTATTCAACGAATTGCACATGCTCCTCCAAACTCTGACGAAAATAAAAAAAAAAATAGATGACACGGTATATATTTCACAAGCTTGCATTTCGTTGGGCAGGGATCTGGACAAAATGAAGGACGGAATCGGCGAGAAGCTCGGTGTCTTCACGTACCTGATGGTGTCCTTCATTTCCTCCATCATCATATCGTTCGTTTACGGCTGGAAATTAACGCTGGTGGTGCTGAGTTGCGCGCCAATCATAGTGATCGCCACCGCGGTGGTGGCGAAGGTGCAGAGCTCCCTGACGGCCCAGGAATTGTCCGCGTACGGACAGGCGGGAAGCGTCGCCGAGGAGGTGTTGGGCGCCATCAGGACCGTGATTGCGTTCAACGGGGAGCAGAAAGAGGTGGACAGATACGCGGAGAAACTCGTGCCCGCGGAAAGGACAGGAATAAAACGAGGAATGTGGTCGGGAGTCGGCGGGGGCGTCATGTGGTTCATCATCTACATCAGCTACGCCATAGCCTTCTGGTACTTTCATATTTTCTTTTAACGTTCATTGCTAAATCCTCCTCCGAGGGTAGGTTTTATTTTGTGCAATAATTACAAAGAAATTTCAATCACACGATAGGCTATATAAACTAGATAGTCAAATGTAAGATCACTCATAGTGTTAGATTCTCATGGTCTTTCTAGACCTTCCCTCGTAGTTTCCAAGATCTTCTCACGTTCTCGATACTCGATTTTCTTTAAATCTGATTGACTGGACGGTGTTCTCGGGGGTCCAGGTACGGCGTGCAGCTGATCCTGGAGGACAGACCGAAGGACGTGAAGGAGTACACGCCCGCCGTGTTGGTAATCGTGTTCTTCGGGGTTCTGGCCGGCGCACAGAACATGGGTCTGACGTCGCCGCATCTCGAGGCGTTCGCGGTCGCCCGCGGATCCGCCGCCGCCATTTTCCAAGTGCTGGATCGCACCCCGGCGATCGACAGTCTGAGCAGGGAGGGCCAAAGGCTTCCATCCGTCAACGGCGAGATCGAGTTCACGAACGTGCATTTCCAATATCCCGCCAGAAAGGACGTGAAGGTGCTACAGGGTTTAAATCTCAAGATCAATCACGGCGAGACGGTCGCCCTTGTCGGCGGATCCGGCTGCGGGAAGTCCACCTGTCTGCAGCTCATTCAACGCCTCTACGATCCCTTCAAAGGACACGTGAGTTGCTCGTTAACAAAAAAAAGCACCAAGAGAGGGAAAAAAGCCGTTAACTCGCAACTTTTTCGCGACGTAGCTCACGCTGCAGCCCCGGTGTTGAAATTCAAAACGCCCCCGCGCCTCTTGTTAAGCCGCTACGTGTCCTGTTTCCCTTTGTTTAATTAAAATATCGCGCCGCGATGATACGATTCGAGATGTTCTCTCTCGAATAAAAATTCGGAGCTTCCTTGCTCGTGGAAAACACTGTTCAACCCTCGAGTTGCATAGATTTTGAGTACCGTTGATTCGATTAGTCCTAATTTCAAAGGTTTTCGAAGGATAATAAATCGCATTGTAACATCGAAAATGGTTTCCCGTTGCGGGTGAAGCTGGTTTCGAGTCTCCGGTGTCGGTGGATTTACCGTCCTGGTGCTCCGGTTCGAGTTTCTTGTCGGTTCGTCCAGGCTGGTATAATTTATCGTTACGCAACGGACACCCGGGTTGATAACCGACGTTTTTGTCCGCGAAAATTGCTCGAGTCGTTCCATGGGAAAACCATCGTTTCTTAAACGCTCGGGTCCAGTTTTCCTGAGACAGTCGCGAAACTCTGACCCAGCTGGTAAATTTACGGTGCAACGAGGCGCGGAAGTTCGTCGTTCCTTCTTTCCCGCCGATTAAATCGCAACGAAGCACACGGCCCGCGGAACCGTGGAATTATTTATCGCTCGCGGGGTTAACAATATCCCCGGACGCGAACGTTCCCGTTATTACATCTGTACTCCGGGCCCGGTTACGCGAATTTTACGGAACAAGTTTGAAGCGTTTCTCGCGAGAACGCCCGCGCCGCCTTCGGGAGTTTTCCCGGCAGTAAAAGTTTTACGGTTCTCGCGTTCTGCATCCGTCGCAGTTCCCCCCGAAAATATCACGCCATATATTCGGCATACTGATTTCGAACCGCGTTTACGTCCTCCGCCTCGTCGCTGACCCTCGCGAGCAATCTATTGGATATTTTTTCAATATTTGGCAAACGACGGTCCTGCGATAGAAAAAAGACCTTGGAATATTTAAGGAGCCTCCATCTCGCGTGAGAGTCGATGGGGATTTTCAGGAAATGCTGTTCGCGTTTCGCAGGTGCTGCTGGATGGCGTGGACATATCGAAGCTGAACGTTCAATGGCTGCGTTCGCACATAGGTGTGGTCGGCCAGGAGCCAGTGCTCTTTGACACAACGATACGAGAGAATATCCGTTACGGAAATGACAGCGTTACCGAGGAAGAGATGATCAAAGCGGCGAAGGAGGCGAACGCTCACGACTTCATCAGCAAGCTGCCCGAGGTGAGTGCCTGAACCTTCTCTTTTATTCCGTTCGCGTTTGTCGGTCTGCGAGCGGAATTTTAGTTTTCATCCTTTCTGCCGCGACGGCCGCGTCCCCGATTGATTTGGTCACTTTTCAAGGGAACAGGGACACCGCTGACGTACGCGTTTAATACGCTTCGAAGGTTTTTTTCCGTGTCGTTGGACGGCAGAATTCTGGCCACCAGTCGCGAAGGGCCGTCTAATTAAAACCAGGCTACCGTGAATTCGCTCTCGACGCTTGAAATTTTCGAATATATTTGCCGTTTCGTAAAGATGTTAGAGAGGAGCTCGATCGGCAACGAACGCGTTAATAAACCCGTCGATCAAGATACGGATCCCCTTTGGTATAATTTACTAAATCCATCTGAAAATCCGGACTCTCCAATCTCGGTCCAGTCTTGTTAAAAGTTTCCGCGAACCGAGAGAGAGTCGAAACTTTCGAACCGGACGAAGATCTCCGAGTCCGGGGGATTCGAATAATGCTGGAAGCGATTCGAATCTTCGCAATCTGTGAAGTTTCGAGTCCCTCCCCCCCGGAAGACCCGGGGATTCGGATCGGCTATAGCTTTGGCTGCCAGCTCGCAGAGACCGTCACGCTTCCGAGTGTTCCCCAGTCAAAGGGTTAATAGCCTGGTCGACGTAACGCGAGTCGTGTATCGTGTACTTAGATCTGCTCGCTGTCTTGTTCAATTTGCTCCGTAATTATTCAATCTTCCCGGACGCGCGGCCGGATGAGCCGCCGACCATCGGAGACCGTTCGATGGGAACGTGTTAACAATAGTCTCAGGTGCGAGCGTCGATACGCGATACACGCTCGCAAACAGGCGATAAAACAGCCCGTTAAACCCGCCGCGAGCAAATAACAGTATCCACGATTATGGCTGCGTCAACGATCAGGCGTTTATTACCGAATTATCGGCCGGACGAGTATCGATACTCGGTTTCGTCCACTCTGGTCGGCGTTTAGGGGAAACGGCCGGGCCAGACAGGGCAAAGTTTATGGGGGGGAATGGCGGACGGTTCGGTTCACGGAACGCTGGCGATCGCGCGTGCTCGTGAAATTTTATTCGGACGTTCGGTTATTCGCGCGTCCATGGCCACGCTGAACGAGTCTATTAATTATTATTCAAATTAGATGGACGCCAGAACGACCGGGCGCGGTGACGAACGGCTTGGAAAATATCCTCGCTCTCAGATGAACCAATTTTCAAACTCCTTGCATTTAGACTCGTTTGGAAGCGGTAACATTAATATTCTACGATCGAGCATATCGCGCGACCGGAGAGTCGGTGCTTCGAACTTCGGGGTAACTCTTTTTCTTGAGCGAGAAGTCGAAGTTCCCTTAAACGACGTTACCCGGATCCGGGCGAAGCGTCCTCCTGGCGCTAAATTCATTAAATCCGAACTGTCCGGATTAATTGAATAATCGTTATTTGAAACCGCAGCGACCTCGATGGCCTCTTCCGTGCGTGGCAATCGAGCGAGCAAATGGAGTGGGCTCCGTTCCGATAATTATCAACAAATGCGACCGCGAGCGGGAGAAGAGCCTCTCCGTACGGTCATTTCCCGGTAAATTCAGACTCGATTTCGTCTTTGGTCCGTCGTTTCCGCCCCTCGAGCACGATCGCGATATTGTGCATAAATCAAATACAACCATCTTTTTTTGAATTAGACAGCAATAATTCTACCAACTTTCGCGTTTGTCTAAATCCCCGGAGATCGATCGTTGTCTACAAGAATCTCAATAAAAATTGCTAGAGCCAACCGTAAGGAAAATCTCTGCTTGATTAAACGTCGCGACGGGGCAAGGAGTCATCGCGAAGGGCTCTTGTTACAGGGTTACGACAGTCCCGTGGGAGAGAGAGGATCGCAGCTGTCCGGAGGGCAGAAGCAGAGGATCGCCATCGCGCGTGCCTTGGTCAGACGGCCGGCGATACTCCTCCTCGACGAGGCCACTTCCGCGTTGGATCTCCACAGCGAGGCGACCGTGCAAAGGGCCCTGGACGCGGCCTCCAAGGGCAGAACGACCATCGTCGTCACTCACCGACTCTCCACCATCACAAACGCCGACCGGATAGTGTTTATAAAGGAAGGACAGGTGGTCGAGCAGGGAACTCACGAGGAGCTACTCGCTCTCGGGAACCACTACTACGGGCTGGTCTCCGCCGACGCCAGTGCCACTGCTAGAGGTAATTGTGGACCGTATTCCACCCTCTTTGAGCCAAAAAACATTTCGAGGTTCATTCTTTGTTGAGCATCATCCACTATAAACTTTGCAACACGTTTCTAAGTTTCGAACGGTGGTCATCGAACCATAGTTTGAACGGATAGGGAGCCCTGTAGTATCTTCCATTCTCTTTGAGCCAAAAAAACATTTCGAGGTTCATTCTTTGTTGAGTGTCTCCGTTGTAAATTTTGCAACGCGTTTCTAAGTTTCGAACGGTGGTCATGAAACCATAGTTTGCGCGGATAGGGAGCCCTGTAGTATCTGGTACGATTCTTTCGAGGTGAATTAACAGGATTTTCTTCTGATCGGAACAGCGAAAGCGACAGCGTCGGCTGCGAAGACGGTGACGGCGGCCATACCGAAGCAGAAACCGCCGCCATTGAAGCGTCAGTTCTCCACGCTGTCGATGCATTCTCATCGGTTATCCCTGGCGGGCGCGTCGGAGAGCTCGATGAATCAACTGGAGGAGCACGAGAAGGCGTACGACGTGCCGATGATGAGGATATTCGCGCTCAACAAGCCGGAATGGCCTTTCAATATAATCGGTTAGCACGGCGCATAACAGAGCAATTGAATCGTTCGTCCGTGCGCCATTACTCGAGCACACTTGTCCCCCGGTCGTTCCGTCGATGGTCGATAAACAAAAACCAAACTACTCCCCGTAGTTAGAGATGGACCAGCTATTTTCCAACGATCGAACCCTCCAATTTCCAAGCACCACTCCACTGTTTCAGCGTAAAAATTACGGCGTTTCAGGTTGCCTGGCCGCGGCTATGGTGGGCGCGTCGTTCCCCGCGTTCGCCGTCCTCTTCGGTGAAGTGTACTACGTGCTGGGTCTCCAGGACGAGGACGAGGTTCGCCGCGAGACGGTCAATTTCTCGATCCTGTTCCTGGTGGTGGGCGTGGTGACCGGTGTGGGGACCTTCCTGCAGATGTACATGTTCGGTTTGGCCGGGGTTCGAATGACAACCAGGCTCAGGAGCACGACGTTCTCCGCGATGTTGAGGCAGGAGATGGGCTGGTACGACGAGGACACGAACAGCGTGGGTGCTCTGTGCGCCAGGCTGTCCTCCGACGCGGGTGCTGTCCAGGGCGCGACGGGAACGCGAATCGGGGCGATTCTTCAAGCATTGTCGACGCTGGTCCTCGGCATCGGGCTGTCCATGTACTACACGTGGAAGATGACGCTGGTATCCGTGGTCTCGATACCCCTGGTGCTCGGCGCGGTGTTCTTCGAGGCGAGGGTGATGAGCGGGCAGGGCTTGCAAGAGAAGAAGAAGATGGAGGCGGCGACGAGGATCGCCATCGAGGCGATATCCAACATAAGAACGGTGGCCAGTCTGGGCAAAGAGGAGGCGTTCTTGAAACGTTACTGCGTGGAGTTGGAGCACGTGGCCCAGGCGACCAGGATCAGGAACAGGCTCAGAGGATTGGTGTTCTCGTGCGGTCAGACCACGCCGTTCTTCGGCTACGCTCTCAGTTTGTACTATGGCGGGGCCCTGGTGGCCACCGAGGGTCTCAGCTACCAGAACGTCATCAAGGTGTCCGAGGCTCTCATCTTCGGGTCCTGGATGTTGGGACAGGCGTTGGCCTTCGCGCCAAACTTCAACACGGCCAAGATTTCCGCCGGAAGGATATTCCAGCTGCTGGACAGGGTGCCGGAAATCACCTCGCCGCCGGGATCGGAAGACAAAGATCTGGACTGGGTGAGCAAACATCGCCGATCAGAGATCACCAGTCTCAATCGCAGATAAATTTCAGAAATTGTCCAAAACATTCGTTTCTAATTTTATCGATCGTAGAAAAATGAATTTTTTTTACACCTAGAAGTTGATAATCGCAGAATTAACGAGAATGCCGGACGTTAATAGCGAGGTTGTTGAACTTGGCAGAAATCGCACGTTCCTCGAGCGTTACATAACGACTATTTAGCAAACTATCGAATTTACGACGTTCTGACAGCAAAGCCTCAGGCAACACGCGTTAATTACGTTCAAAACCGGGAAGCTGTGTTTGATCAGGACTACACGACCCCCTCCAGAATTCCAAAGCGTTTAATGAAGTGATACGAGCGAACGACGTTTCCAATTCGCTGCGCAAACGCTTCGAAACGCTACGTGTATCGCGGTTTACGAACCAAATATATGTCGTTCATTCGATCAACGATTTTCCCCTGTTATACGTGTCATCGCGGAGCCGTTCGATAAAATTTCATTTATAAAAACGACCACTTTGTCCGGGCAAACTTATCGCGCGGCGCAACGAAATTTGCGAGCCAGGACTTCGACTATGAAATCGGTTTTTTCGCGCGATTCGATTTCGATTTTATCGACGTCATAGGATACCGAGATAATTAAATGCAAAATTTACTTTATAAATCGGGGGGACCTTTCTCGTGGATCGTGACATTTTTGTAGCTTTATCGAAAAGAATGGGAGGATTTAGAGCGACGAACGACGTTGGTTTCAGAAAGCGGACGGTCTGATTCAATTCTCAAAAGTGGAGTTCCACTATCCGACGCGGTCGGAGATGCCGATTCTGCAGGGTCTGAATCTAATAGTGAAGCCCGGACAGATGGTCGCGTTGGTTGGTCAAAGCGGATGCGGTAAGTCCACTTGCATCCAGCTGCTTCAACGGCTGTACGATCCGATCTCCGGCACCGTGACGATGGACCGTCGAGACATCTCCTCGGTCTCCTTGCGTAATCTACGTTGCCAACTCGGCGTGGTCGGCCAGGAGCCCGTCCTATTCGACAGGACGATCGCGGAGAATATCATGTACGGCGACAACTTCCGGAAAGTGCCGATGGACGAGGTCATAGAAGCCGCCAAGAAGTCGAACATCCACAGCTTCGTCAGCTCTCTACCACTAGTGAGTACCATTCCACAACTATGGTAACCACTAGAGTCTCCCTTTTCTCAAAATCTGTTGGATTAAAACACGGGAGGGTTCAGTCATTTTTAATTCATTCTCCTCTATTTAAAAAACATGTTGACTTTGGTCATTTCTTAAGGGTGTAAAAAGAGTTTCTTTCCAACAAGCATATTAATTTTTGAATTCCTGAAGCATGGACGTTGCAACGAGGGTAGGGGAACTGAAATGGCGGGGATGATTGTTGTTGCAGGGGTACGATACTAGGTTAGGATCTAAGGGTACGCAGCTGTCCGGAGGGCAGAAGCAGAGAATAGCGATAGCACGAGCTTTGGTCAGGAATCCCCGTGTCCTGCTCCTGGACGAGGCCACATCTGCGCTTGACACTCAGAGCGAGAAGGTAAGCCCCGGGATCACCCAGGATCGCGTTAAGGAAACGACGAAGCACCTGTTACGCCCCGTCGCGTCGAACGATCGCGGTTGTTTCATAATTCACGCGATCTCGTCGTTTCGAGGGTTGTTCGAACGACCTGGATCGAGGTTTCCGCCTCGAAGGGGAGGAAAATGTCGCGCGAAGGGGCGGAGAGAGGTAGCTTTCTCGGAACGGACGTGGGACATAATGCGCGCGGAACGCGGAAACGTTGGCTTTTTTCGCGACAAAGCGAGAGACGGAGGAAAACAAAAATGGTCAGCGTCGCGAGAAGTGGAAGGAATTCGAGACAAAAGCGGCCGCGGTCTAGCTTGCTACGAGCCATTGTTGCGTCGTACCAGCCACGGTTTGTCACCTACTGTGCTCACAAAAAGCCATACGCGGGTCGGGGCAATGGGTGGCGATTTAAAGGCGACAGCTTCGCTAATTCCTCGAAAATTATCATTCACTGTTTTAATTCTAGTTCGATCAGAGGTAGCTTGGATGCTGTGTTGTTCGTTTACGTTGTATCTAGTTTAACGTGTCTCTCTTGTACGAAACAAGATCGCTCGTCCCCGAGGCTGACAAACATTCCCAAGCTTGAATATATCTACCTCCTTCACTGTGGATTATGCAGACTATGACAATACTATGACAATGCTATCTTTTCTTTCGTAGAACGTAGATTCCATGTTTTGATATTAATAATTGTCTTGGAGTCGTCGAGTCAGAGTACCTTGTTCTGGGTCCATTTTTTAAATCCTACATCCAGTATCGAGTTTCTTAGTTCCCAAATCAATTTTTATCCAAATATATGACAAATATTTGCTTATCTAAATATTATTTGCGATGACACTATTCACGCTTATCTATTCCCTCAAAATAAAAATTTGTTTTTCTTTCGTTCGAACCTGCGATCTCGAGGCAGTTGTTGTAATTCCCGCCATTTTCTATACCGGCACGGTGAACGATGGACGCGTCGAAATATTTTGTTGACGCCGACCGATGAATATCAGGAACACTGGGTAGCGAATAACAACGGGGGCGTAGTGTAAATTGACGGTACTGTTATGAGTGGGTCGGCTTGATGAATATTAATGGGTCCTGATGGATTTTAATGGAAAACAGGGACAAAAAACCGCGGGACCCGTGGCCGACGAAAAAAGATACGCGACACTGGCCCGTAGTGTATTACGCAATGGAACGTACTTTATATGGTAATTTTTCGAAATTAAAATTCATATGTTTGCGCGGTCGAATCAAGATTCTGCGCGGTTCACGATAATGCATCGCGTTACGCGTCATTATACTCGTTCCTCCTGTTTCTCCAAAATTACGCTTACGATCGAGTTCTATTTAACCCGATTCTTAAACAACGGTACACGCTTTTAATTTCTGAAGAAACTCTCGGTGTTGAAGCAATAACAGACGAGATAGAATTCCGTTTCGAGACGTGGATGTTACGGGTGTTGACGTTGAAATGTACGTCACAGATTGAAGATTATTCCAGTTGCAGCGGTCCCTTCGAATCGGTGGCAGACAGAGTGCCGTGCAATAGTATTATCTATGGTAGCAATCGGAAATACTCGGCTTTGCTAGCATTCAATCGTTGTTCCCTGGCGGGAAACGGTTCGTCCACCGAGCGAAATTGACGGCAATTATTGCTCCGTAGTTGCTTACGATCCCCCGCGTTGTTGTCCTCTTTGTTGATCCTGGACCCGGCGAACAATAGAGAAACGCGTTCAGGTCGTTCCGCGCAAAATCAATATCAGGGATTTTGTTGAAATTCAAATATGGCGTACCACGTATAGAATCGGGGGTGGTTTCACGATTTCGCTGGTTCGAAACGTCTTCGAAATACACGAAACGCTAAAAATCTATCATCAATCCAATTATCTCCAAAACGAGGCTATATTTCTTCGTCTTCGGGGTTGTTTCAAGGTCGTGGTATTACGAGTCAACGCCACGCAATCTAAGACACATGGTACTCGTGGCAACTCGCCTCGCAACTTCATTTTACAAGCAACATCTGCGAATCGCCCTTTCCCTCGATCGTCGCGAAACTTCGCAGGTTTCTGGGGCGAAACGAAATGAGAATCGTTCTTTTCTTCGGCGGTGGTAACTCGGGGTCGACACATTCATGGCGCGAACAATATATCCGAGGGTTCATAAATTATTCGTAGGGGCTGATGGATGCTTAGGGGTCGTAACCAAAGCATCGACACTTTGGCCAGTTACGGCCTGTGTCAACGTCGTTAAGGGATACTCCAAAGTTTAGGTCCTCTGATCGTATCCTTAAAATTGAGAACGCAAAGAAGATGATTAATAGGACAGTTGAAAAATTACCGAAATCTCATCGTCTTTTATAATAAACCTGACAGAATTTACGACGGAACCTTTATTTTTGGCTGCTCTACAAACCCAGATGTTTCTTGTCAGTAATTTTGCAATATTTTCGACAGCAGCGAAAATATTTAAAACACTCGCGACAAATGGGATCCAAAGCTTCGTCGTGGAAGCGGAAAATAATTTTCCAAGCCTTCGTGCAGGGTTTGCGAATGAATTTGCTGGGTATCCGTTCTCGTTTGAGCGTAGTCGTGTAACTTCTCTATTGTTTCGGCAAGAAACAAGGCATTTAAGTTGATTTTGCACGTTGTTTGTCGCGCAGGTCGTGCAAGCGGCCCTGGACAAGGCCATGGAGGGCAGAACGTGCATCACCATAGCGCATCGTCTGGCCACTATAAGGAACGCGGACGTGATCTGCGTGCTGGAGAAGGGAACCGTCGCGGAGATGGGCACCCACGACGATCTAATAGCCGCCGACGGGCTCTACGCTCATCTGCACGCTCTTCAAGAGGCCGCGATGGAGTAAAATCGAGAACCACGATGCGCGTACGGGGGTGGTCACGTGAACGGGACTATACGAGAAAACCAGAAATTTCCAGAAACAAATTTCTTCGAGGCGTTAACACCCCCCCGTTCGAGGACTTTATCAACGAGTCGCGAAAGAAGTGGACAGGATTCCAATGTAATCAGCCCCTGGACACTTCATCCCCCGGTTTCTACTTCCCACGAGGCTGCAAATTCTGTCGGGGACACGCGGGATCGTTATTGCTTCCCCGTTTCTCCCTTACGTAGCAATCCTCCCTCTGCAAACGACGAAACACGTCGTTTTCTATAATGTCCATCGCTCCATTCTACCATTTTCCGCAACGATTCCCGCTCGGAAATTCACCCATTCGCGGATCGAGCTTCTCCGGAAGCTTTCTCGAGCCATTGCAAATTACAGAAATTTAATAAAATTTATCGCTTCGCTTCGAGTCTCGCGCGAGTTGAATTTGATTTGCAAATGAACATTTTTTGGTGGATCGAGGATACATAAGAATGCCTAGCACGCGTCGAGGGTTTTGGAGTCGTGAAAAATGGAGAGGATCGATCCGGGATAAGACGCGTGAACGGCGACAGGTGTCCCCCATGACGACGCACCGTCGTCTAACAATGCCCCATGAAAGATGCACGAATGTTTCTTCCGACAATAGACGCCCTCAACTCGCCTTACGCTGCTTCTCGCGAAGATCGCGGATCCATGTGCCTTAATAATTACGCGATCTACAGGGGTACAACGAGGCGACGAAATTGTAAAAAAACGGAAGGATAGTGTTGCACGCTCGCGGGGAGAACGGAAGTGTCCCGGCGGACGGATTTCTTTCCCCGAACTTGTGCCTTCGCTTCGAGGTGGGCAGAATTTAGTCCCGGTCAAAGCATCGTGCAATGATTTATTCTACTCGTAGTACAGATCGTTTATTTTTAATCGGAGATTCTTGGTCGAAATTTCGTAAGCGGACGAGAATTTTGCCCATCTCCGCCTTCACTTCATATATTTAGCGATAAGATTCCGCCGGTCTCGGGACACGGCGCGAAAAGATACCGGAAAATTTCGCGAACAATTCGTTTCTCTTGTTCTATTCTCCGTTTCGAGTCGACCGTTCCTTTCCCGCGGAAATTTGGAATTGATAATCGTAGATTTTCCGACCCTTGAAGTCGTTCTAAGAACACGTTTACGAAGGTAAATTAATATTAAAGTTGCAGAATAATTCCCAGCGCGAGTACTTAGCGGAATTGGTCATTAAATTTTTAATTATGCTTCGGGCGACGGATAAATAATGTCCCAGTCTCGCCCACCGAGGATTAATCACCGACGGTCGCGACCGATTAACGAATAATTCAGCTTTAATTTCGGTAATCGACTGACGTGAACGCGTTCGTTCGCGAGGAAGTAATCTTTGCATCGATTTAATCGTACGCTGTGCGTTCAACGCCCACCCTTTTATTAGCTTTGCGATCTGTTTGCTTTGTCGGAAAACGTATGACGACGAACGCGTCGATCACGATCGAAATCTAAACCCTATACCATGGTCGATCAATTGGTCGAATCATTTTTCTACGAACATTATCGATCGCGTGGTTTCAACGGTGTACTTAATCGCCTCGAAAACGCGACCCGAAAGCAGACCTCGATTAATTAAGCTTTACCGCGACCGAAGCGTGAAATAGTGCTTTAATATCGCCGACAATACAACGGTAGCCGTAGAACCTTTTATCCAGGAACAAGCGTTCGCGACTGGTAGCGTTTTAACGCTATTATCTCTAGAATTAAGATCCATCGTTCGACGCTGTCTTTTCTGCGCTTCTCGCGATTCCAGCGAATCAAACGCGGAACGAAACGAGAGAACAATCCTCCGAACAGTCGTTCGTCGTCGATACGAAATGGAAAAGCGCGTAGAGAAACGGAGAGATCCTAGTTGTAAACATTTTGAAATCGTTACTTAAGACTAAAGGCTGCGGCCAGCGTAACTTAAGGGCAGAGAGATCTTAAAATTGCGCGGATCGAGCATGGATCGCTCGTTCCGAACTGTGTGACTTAAACATACAAAACAACAAAAAAAAAAAAATAATAATAACGTACAGCGTGTTTCATTAATTCTACTTTGTCTTTTTTCATATATCAAAAGCGTGTCGAGTTGTAATTATACAGCGATACTAGCCAGTATAACGACAAACGAGGAAGTATTAATTTTTTTTCGTTCTCTTTTTTTTTTTTTCTTGTTACAAGAAAGACGGGGCAGATCGTACTGCTGTCATATACAAAATAAATGGAAACATAGTGGAGAAAAAAAAAACACAAAAAAAGAGAGGAGAGTTTTCGATGCGCCACACCCGTCGCCGAAATATTGCGAAACAGAGGCCCGCTCCCGTCGCCGACCTGTTCCCGTTTCCATCCATCTGTCCCGTTCTGTCCCCATATTTTCGCGCTGCGCGCGATGTTTATTCGCCCCTAGGAATTTATTTCTATTCGCGCGGCCTTTTAACGTTCGTCACGAGACCCCGCGCACCCCCCCCCCGACACCCCGGGAACGATATTGAAAGACGCCCTCGATTAATCGTTTTAATAAAAAATCCGTACGTTTACGTTGGTCGTTGCAATTTTTTTTTACTTTGGAGAAACGATCGTTTCAGCGAAAAGTCCTGGCAGTCGAAGCGTATTTGCTCGTCTCGGGGGGTTGGAAAGAGTCTGAGGGGATGATTGGCACGCGTCAGAGACAAAGCGAGGGCCAAGTTCGACGAACGTAACCGGCTAGAGTTTGCAAAGTTAGGCGTGTCAGCTTTTTGAGGGAACGTTCGTCGCGTTGAGTAAATATGGAGAACGGGGCGGCGTTGAAAGGGGGTTGACAAAGGCCGGTGGATGTTTCCATCGAGCCGAGGCGAATAAAGAGAACGCAGTATAAAGAAGTTCCCGAGCGCGGAGGAAAGTTGATTTATTACCGTCGTGAGGAAAATCGGGGTTGGACGGGGGTGGGGGTTTGGTTCACGCGAAAATTATTCCGTCGAGTTGCCCCCGCGGGCTGTAACGCGTCGAAGAAGGTCGAGGGATCTTAATTGTTCGGGACACGCAGCCGTTCGACGGTGAAAGGCGATAATTAAGGGGGACGCGGGTCGTCATTAGCGCCTTGTAAATCCGATTAGTTCCCGGGGCCGATAAAACGGCGCGTCGGCCTTTTATCGTTCATCCGCCGCGCGGAATCTACGCGAACTGTCGACTGGGAATAATTCATGCCCTTTGACGGCGGAAGTGCACGCTCCCAGCCCCTGGACTCAATTTAATTCCGCCCAGCTAGATGTAAACAGCCCTCAACACACTCCACGGGCGAATTTCTCTTCCGCGGGACCGTTCACTTTGCTATTTCTACCCCTCGTAAGTATTGAAACTCTACGAACATTTGTAATAACCTAGACCTATGCAGTGGGGCAATGATAACAATTTTTACGGTTTAAAGTATTTGTGTTGCCTAGCACGCGTTTACTTCTTTTGTCTGTATCAATATAGTCACGTTTCGACTCGTGTATGCTAATCGAACTCTGGACATATCTGCCTCAGACGTGCTATTAATCATTCGACGATTCCCCGGTTAACGGGCAGTTTATTAATACATAAATAATCAATGATCAATACCGTTGCATCTAAGACGGACCAAGGGCTCGTTAGATAGTTTCTACGCGCCTAGTCTTAATAAACTCGCCGATTTTTAGCGGAACATTTCCTTTTTACGAAACGGATCGTACGTCTCGACAAGTCTCGCGATTCACGGAGGCGGCTGGTAAGAAAAAGACGGTGCCGTTGTACTTGAATATTTAACAGGTTTCGCGGCGTCGACTACCCCCGGGCTGAAAGTTGTACCGCAGTCGAGCAGACGGACGAATTGGATTGCCCCCGACGTTTACTATCGTTCCATTCGAGCACACGCTTACGGCTGATTAGAAAACGTATTCCATTTTACGCGGGGCGTAAAAGAGTATAAGAGCCTCTGCCTCTTCCACCGTCAGCCACGTCTCATCCTCGTAAGAACCGTGGGCGCGTTTAAGCGCGGCAAGAAAAAGACATCGCGAATCCACGGGAGTCACTTTAATCCGGCGTAGTCGACGGCGATTAGCATTCACAGAGGGAAGCTTGCTCTTTGTTGTACCGACTTGCTGGACCCGGGATCGCAGGATCGTGCCAGCCGGGTAACTACCGTCGACCAAACTTCTAGCGAGCACCGGAAGGCTGGCGAGGGCGCGAATTAGGTTATTCACCGCGTTCGTTGCAATATCTCACCGTCATTTTTCTGAAAATAATATGCAAAAGTCTTGACGTTTCCCCTCCTGAAGTATTTCTTGTGGAACAAAAGAATCGTTAAATTTCTGGGGCACGTAGCGCTGATCGATACAAAGGATAAGCTCTTGGGGAATTTTGGGACGCCTAATGAGTCCTTGTTCGACAAACTTCGGGCGAGTATTCGAGACACGCGGTCGCATATCGATTCGGGAACGTGTGGCGGCATGAAAGAAATGGATTACAACGAGAGGTGGTCCTCCCAATGATGGGAAGAGGGTCAGGGACGAGAGGATGATATGGAAAACAAAAATGTACGTGTTTCGAGAGTGATATGATAATGGATTCGGGAAAGTTGAGCGACGCGTGGAGATGAATCTGGCCTTTGGGATTTCGTTATCCTTAAATCAAATACTCGAACTTGTTCTATATAGACTTTAAAATTAGTTTTTAAAACGAAAGATTAGAAATAGAACGCTCTTGCAGCATAGAGAAAACAATTCGGTAGGGGGTCGAATGATCGTGAAAATTCGTTTGGCAAATATTGCCTCTATCATCACGTTTGACCTCGCGCGTATAAATGAAAATAATAACGGGTTTGAAAACGATAATGTATTCAACGTATCGTTGTTTTCAAAGCAATAACCGCTTTAACACGCGTGTTTAAACACGGCGATTACAAAGGCAACATTTACGAAATGGATTTTCACGAGGGGATTCCAAGTATTTAACATTTAAAAATAAATAAAAAACATTGAAGTTCCGGGGTTAAAGGGACGCGTGAAAAAATCGCGTAATATTCGTGTTAATTCCCGTGATCTTGTCACCGTCTCGTTTTGACCGGTATTAATGCCCGGAAGCATCTCGACACCATTTTCATCTTTTCCAGAGGAATCCGCGGGGAGGAAAAGTCCAAAAGGAGTGGCGGGAAACGAGTCGGAGATAAAGTAATAGCCAGAAACGGAAAGAGAGGAGTTGGTAGCATGTAGCAGGCGAAGCGCGGGTCGTCAGGTGCATATAAATCAGCATAAATTGTAATGCGGAATTCCGTAGTCGGTATGCGTCGTAGCACAGACGAGGTACACAAATAGATACGTCCAATGTATTTTTTCGGCCCATTTCTACTATCCAGTTTTATTGCGTGCTAGTTGTACGATCAATAGGAATTGCTAAAACTTTTTTTAGTGCATAGGGTCAAAGTAAATGTTAAAATAAACATAGAAGATAACACAAATAATAATAGTTTATATGGTCATCGGATAGGGGATGAAATGCCCTTTAAAACGAGCGTTCGTACGAGTCGATAGCGTTATTGGTTCCGGAGATACGAGGATTTTAGTTTCAAGTCGATCGGATGAGACCGAAGGGTTTGTTTACGTCGCGAGATGAATGAACTTTCTTACTACGGCCTTGTCAAGGTCGTTGACCGCGCGCGCGTAAATATTACGTCACTCGGTCAGTGGGTCAACGTGCGACAAGGAGGTCCGACGCGCTAGACGAAGACAGAGAGAGTCGAATTAAAAAAATTACCCTTTACATAAATTACGATATCTCGAAAACGAAAAGTCGGATCGACAAAAACCAAAAGCCATTTTAAAGGGGAAGGTTTGCCGCCGCTAATGGTGGATCAATAATTAATAAAACACTAGTAGTTTCGGAACTGCACGCGTCCAAAGTTTTAGTATTTTTAATACGCATTTATAGACGTTTCTAAGGCGGCGAGAGCGTGGATAGCGGAATTTAATAAATACCTCTTTACATAAATTACGATATTTCGAAAACGGAAAGCCGGATCGACAAAAACCAAAAGCCATTTTGAAGCGGAAGGGTTGTCGCCGCTAATGGTGGCTCAATAATTAATAAAACATTAGTAGTTTCGGAACTGCGCGCGTCCAAAGTTTTAGACGTTTCTAAAGCGGCAAGAGCGTGGATAGCGGAATATAAAAAATACCTCTTCACATAAATTATGATATTTCGAGAACGGAAAGCCGGATGGACAAAAACCAAAAGCCATTTTGAAGGGGAAGGGTTGTCGTCTATAACGGTGGCTCAATTTTGACTATTTTTAACCCCTTCCCGTGCTTTAACGAGTCTGATTTGTGAAGAAAATTTTGGCCCAAACATGAATATCACGAGCCAGGCTCGCGGAGAGCATAACACGTTTGTCATTGAGTTTCAGTTCTTATCAGTACGCCACATGAGTCGGTTGTTGCAAAGCAGTTTAGTATCAGTCTTAATACGCGGTTTTATTAATGTCGCGAAATGTGAATACGCGTTTGCTACATCGTGGAGGGGCAAAGCGTCGCGCGGAATTCACTCTGTCAGGTTGGTGCGTTTTATTTATTCTTTTTTGTTCGTCCCACCCGCGGGTACAAAGGCGGGAAAGAGGTTTAGGGACGAAAACGAGGTTGTTGCTCGCGAACGGGCCGGAAGGGTAGCCGCGACGCAGGCGAAATACAATTCCCTCTCGGTGTTTCGTATATAAAGGGGCCAGAAACAGGGAAGAATAATTAACTTTAAGCTGCGTTCGCGTTTTACGCCGGTCCACGGGTCCAACCCTCTCACTCGCGCGACCTGGTCAATTTATTTAAATCCGATGCAGGAAATTTGCGGGTCATCTGAACCCTGATGAAACATCGGGACGTCCGACGACCCCAAGCCTTTACCGAAAGAAAAATCTTATTTCCGCGCCCCCGTAAATATTCGAGCCCGGAAAGAGGAATTTTGCATCGAATCGCGCAAACAGTCCGTAAGGATTTTATTCCGAATCGACGAGATCCCACACACCCCCGCGTGGATTTGCTTTAGATTTTGCATACTCGTGGATATCTGTGTGTAGTTTTCCACGATTCGTGTTGTCGAGTTTCCTCTAAGTTTATCGGGGTTCTTGGGAGGATCGAAATAGACGATTATCGAACGTCTTTTCTCGTAGTGGTATTTAAAAATTAAAAAGCACGATAACTGTAGATCAAAGAGGATCTAAAATTCGAAGTCCACGCACGGAACGGAGATTTCATCGATTTCGAGTAA